AGTACAAAATTTTCATAGAAAAAGAGTATCCAGGAGATCTGAAGGTGATCTCCTTCAGGTACCAGGGAAATGCTGGCAGGGAGCACCAGCTTCTAAAGAGCAAGGGATGTTCTAACTGGAAGAGAGTAATAATGGTTTAGAAGGAGTCAAAAGGAACAAGGAGAATACACCTCATTCCCATCCTGAAGCATCTTAAGAGTTTGAGAGAATGAGCCATCTCTACCTAAGAGATATACAAGGGAAACAATGTCCTCAAGGGAGATCCAGGTGACAGTTAAAACTGGCAGATACAAACAATGAAGAAACAGTCTAAGAAAATAGGGAAGTTTCCCAGTCCTGTAGCTGGATTTCCGGAGAGGACAATGAGAAGTTGTGTGAAACATGGGAGGCAAGGATATTGGGTCAGAGAGAACAATCAGAATATAATGTTGTAAAAGAGAATAGGTGACCAAATGGAATTATGATCTGGATGGTGATCAGAGAAAACAGGACTGCTTAGCAGAGAGAACTGCTAAACCAGACAGATGAAAATGGGAGTTGCAGTAGCCTCCTAAATCACCTGACATGGAGTTAGGTACCTTGGGTAGTGAACAGGAAAGTCCAAACCTAGTCAATAGGCACTCAGGATTGGGCAGTCATCCTATCAGCTTTGACCTTGTGTCTCTGATTCCATATGAGGGTCAGGCAAAACACCAAGGGACTACAAGGACCAAGAGGCAAGCTCTATTGTAAAGTTCTGCTGGAAAGCACCCCCACAAGATCCTGTCCTGAAACATGGGAGGGGGTCATGCTGTCAGTGTCCCGTGTCATTTCGTGCTCCCTCCTGCATGCCCCCTACTTCCTGACGTTTGACCCATATTCTAGTTTATACCTGCTTTGTCACCTACTCTGATTACCTCATCTTCATGGAGTGATATAAATGATATGAAAAGGCTTTCTAACATGTAGGAAGTTAAATACATGGGGGCCCTGACTTCTCCCCCACTTTGACCATTTCTGCTTCAGATCCATTCTCCTAGGTCCCAACTCCCAACTCTATCCTAGCCCTTGGATCAATCTCTGCCTACTGAGGGGCAAAACTGTAAGTTATCCCAAGAAATAGGGGCTACTATTATAGCTCCATTTATCCTCTTTGCCATTTCCCATGACCACTCTTCAACCTAGAAACTGAGAACATTGCTCTGGTTGGTGGACCCTCCTTATTGGCTCCAAAGGGAGGAGTACGTACGCTTCATAAGGGGCCTTCCAACAGGGGGAGGTGCCAGCGGCAGTGTATCAGACAGGTTCCGGAGCAGGTGTGAGCTTCTGCCAGCTTATCTGCACAAGATGAGTGACTAGAAATATGCAATTTGAAAAAATGACAAGAAAGCTACCTCCAATGTCCCCATCTCACGCCCAGCTTCCGCCTCCTCTTTCTGCTCCTGCTTGCTCTCATTCCCCAGAGCTCCTTCCTCCCGTCTCCTCCGTCTTTTAGCCCTCACCTGCCCCGCAGCCCCATCCCTCCCTTCACGCTTCAGACCCACCCACTTCCCTCCTGTGGTTAGTGTCGCCGCTTCCTGCCGCCCCACCGTAATGACATCCACGGCCAGCTCTCTCCCTGTCTCTTCCACATCAACTGCTTCCCACCCTGTCCGTCTGGCTCCCCTTTCCTCTTTCTCCTTCATCTGTGCCCCTACTCCCTCCACTGCCCCTTCCTTTAGTCCCTTGGACTCTGGTCCTCATCAACACTCCAGCCAATCCCGACCAGACCTGCTGATTCACACATCTTATCCTGGAGAGATAATTTCTCTACTGCTGGGACAGAGCTGGTACAGTTCAGAAATGCCAGGATTGTGGATCCCCAGAAGGCTTACTTGGTGGACCTACTGAATTCAAGATGATGGCCGAACAATATTCAGCTTGAAAGTAAGTTCAGTTCTTTGCAGGAGTCCTTTTCTGTGATGATGTTTTTAGCCATGAACAGACTCTGGTTATCTTACTATTATCTGTGTTTTGCCTTCATTGTAATTTTATCAGTCCTCTTCAGACACCAATAAAAATCCTAACCAAAACAGACTGGTTCCAAATTGGGAAAGGAGAACGTCAAGGGTGTATATTGTCACCCTGCTAATTTAACTTATATTCAGAGTACATCATGCTAAATGCCAGGCTGGATGAAGCACAAGCTGGAATCAAGATTGCTGGGAGAAATATCAATAACCTCAGATACACAGATGATACCACCCTTATGGCAGAAAGTGAAGAGGAACTAAAGAGCTTCTTGATGAAAATGAAACAGGAGAGCGAAAAAGCTGGCTTAAAATTCAACATTCAGAAAACTAAGATTATGGCATCCAGTCCTATCACTTCATAGCAAATAGATGAGGGAACAATGGAAACAGTGACAGATTTTATTTTTTTGAGCTCCAAAATCACTGCATATGCTGACTGCAGCCATGAAATAAAAAGATGCTTGCTCCTTTGGGAAAAAGCTATGACCAACCTAGACAGCATATTAAAAAACAGAGACAATACTTTGCCAACAAAGGTCCATCTAGTCAGGACTGTGGTTTTTCCAGTAGTCATGTATGGATGTGAGAGTTGGACTGTAAAGAAAGCTGAGCACTGGAGAATTGATGATTTTGAACTGAGTTGTTGAAGAAGACTCTTGAGAGTCCCTTGGACTGCAAGGAGATCAAACCAGTCAATACTAAAGGAAATCAACCCTTAATATTCATTGGAAGGGCTGATGCTGAAGCTGAAACTCCAATCCTTTGGCCACCTGATGTGAAGAGCTGACTCATTGGAAAAGACCCTGATGCCCGGAAAGATTGAAGGCAGGAGGAGAAGGGGATGACAGAGGATGAGGTGGTTAGATGGTATCACCAACATGATGGACATGAGTTTGAGCAAGCTCTAGGAGTTGGTGATGAACAGGGAAGCCTGGCATGCTGAAGTCCATGGTGTTGCAAAGAGTCAGACATGACTGAGTCACTGAACTGAACTGAACTGAACTGAAGACCTCAGGAGGCTGTTAGACTCGCTAGAAAAAGGGACCCAGACATGGGAAGTGACAAGTAACAGAGGTTCTTCTCCACCTCAGCCAGGTACGATGAAATCTGTTTGCATTTCAGCATGATATAAAGGTTTATATAATGGTGTAAGCAGAAGAAAATCACAGTGCCATCTGGTTGGACATCCAGTCACCCAGCAAACATTTACCAAAAGCCTGCATCTATACATACTGTGCCAGGTACTGGTAATTCAGAGATGCTCAGATACATTTCTTGTTCTCAAGTAACTTAGTTCTATAAAATAAGTTTAGTATTCTAGAACTACAGAGTTGAGGTTGAGCATGGCACAAAGAAAAATTGGACTAGGGGCTATACAGTCCAGAAAGGTTTTTGAAAGAAGATTACATGTGAGCTCATTATAAACATTAGATGATTGTTCCCCAGACAGACAACAGGGGAAAGGGCCTTCCAGACCAAGGAGATGGAGCAGCGGGAGCTAAAGCAAGGATCATGATGTTGTTTGCTGGGCTCAGGACACTGCACACATGTCTACCCATCTGTCATGTTCAGCACTGTGTCTCCAAACCTAAACTCACTGGGAACACACTATTCTGGATGGAAGGATGGATGGGTGGACAGATGGAGTGTACATAGAGGGGAAGACCACAGGCTCTGGAGTCAGCATTTAGGTGCTTCCTAAAACCAGGGATGGCTCCTTTCTTTATGCTAGGGTTACTTTTAGGATTTTTTTAAATATAAACTGTATTAAATAAGGTATCTAGAGGAGTAAAATTCATAGAAAAAGTAAAATGGTGGCCGCCAAGGGCTAAGGGGAGGAGGCAATGGGGAGTTGTTTAATGGATATAAAAACTTTCTGGAGATGAGTTTCACACACTGTGACTATACCTCACGGTGCTGAACTACAATACTTAAAAATGGTTCAGATGGCAAATTCTATGTATATTTTACCACAACTTTAAAAATTTAAATAAACTGTAAAGCTCCTAAGTTACTTTTAGGGGTTAAGAAAGGGTTATCCTGTCTATATTATTTATCAAATGGGTGATATGGGGAGGAATGTCTTTAAGCATGGGAAACCTCTCTATGTTTCTGAAGTAAACATGCTGCTGCTACTGCTGCTAAGTCGATTCAGTCGTGTCCGACTCTGTCCGACTCTGTGCGACCCCATAGACGGCAGCTCACCAGGCTCCTCTGTTCCTGGGATTCTCCAGACAAGAATACTGGAGTGGGTTGCCATTTCCTTCTCCAACATAGAGAGTCTCAATTTGGGGCATGTGCTTTAATGTAGAGAGGTTTCTTACTCCTTCCAAAATAGTTTTTAGGAAATGACTAGTCAAGGTGAGGCTGAATCCTAAGCCCATTACCTCTTCAGTCTGTCACTTCGTCAGTTCAGTCGCTCATTTGTGTCCAACTGTTTGCAACCCCATGGACTGCAGCACGCCAGGCTTCCTTGCCCATCATCAACTCCCGGAGCTTCCTCAAACTCAAGTCCATTGGGTCAGTGATGCCATCCAGCCATCTCATCCTCTGTCATCCCCTTCTCCTCCTGCCTTCAATCTTTCCCAGGATCCAGGTTTTTTCCAGTGAGTCAGTTCCTCCATCACGTGGCCAAAGGATTGGAGTTTCAGCTTCAGAATCAGTCCTTCCAATTAATATTCAGGACTGATTTCCTCTAGGATTGACTGGTCACTTCATGGCGAGTCTGTTTTCTGGAAGTGTGAGGCAGCGGTTCTGTAACCAAGCTAGATATGTCCTAGGTGGGTTGAGCGCCTAAAGAGCGCGCAATGCGCGTTCTAAGATTTGGGCGTGGGGGATGGGCGAGCAGGAGCGAGGTCTAAGGGAGGAGGGTGAGCGAGGACCGGTTGCCTGGAGACGGCTTGGGACTCTGTTGCCTGGAGACAGCCTTTGGCCTGGCACCTGGTGAGCGTCTAGGGGGGAGGTGAGGGGGCGCTCTACTGACCGGACACAGCAGAGCCAACCAAGGCCATGGCTGGACACCAGAAGGAGAAGGCGATCACAGATGAGGTCCACCAGAACCAGATCCTGCGGGAACTGTACCTCAAAGAGCTACGAACCCAGAAACTCTACACGCAGTATCACGTGAATCCACTCCGCAAGGGTGAGGGGCGCTACCTGATGGAGGAAGGGAAAGAGGGCGCCCCGCGGGAAGGAGCCGACAGGGGTGCGGGGCAGGGGGTGCGGGGTGGAGCCCAGTAGGAGAAGCCTCCTCTGGCCTCGCCCTTACTCTCAGCATTTCAGAACTCTGACTCTGGGGTTGGGAAGGGGTCTCATTCTCCATCACATCAAACAGATGTATTAAAATGCATCCACATCCTGATTAAATAATATTTTATTGTAACACATTTGAAAGGTTCTTTATAAATTTGCTTTTGCAATATCTTGCAGGGTTTTGTGTTTTGTTTCGATGTGTTTTGGTTTGTTGTTAATAAGATAAAGGATTTCTTTCCACCTTCTTATATTGTCTGAAGACCTTCAGAAAATTCATGGGGCGCAGACTCAAAGCCCAGCGTGCCGCCTGATTAAATGGCCCCACCCCAACTCTTCTCACTTTGCACATTCCTGGGCCAGTTTCATCTGGTCCTGTAACATCAGCTCCCTCTAAAGGGCACTGAGTCTCACATGGAGACCCAGACCCACGTCCACAACCACGTCCCAGCTCCCTTCCCCTGGTTCATCCCGCACCCCTCTCCCACCTGTGGCTGCTCCAGAAGATCTTGTTTTGAGCACAAGGCACCACAGCCATTCTCTCTCCCTAGTTAGAAGCCTGGGAGTCATCCTCAGTCTCTCTCTCTCTCTCACTCCACACAGCTGAGTAGGCACCGTACTGTTTCTTCCTTAGCGTTTCTCTCACAGGACGGTTCCCACGTTCCTGCCTCAGTGGGAGACGCCATCATGCAAGACTGCCAATCTTCACTTAGCTCGGCCCCCTCTCTATTTGGCCTCTGAAACCTCAGCAGGGCCCTCCTCACTCCTGCCTGCATTGATCTGATGCTCTCCTAACTCTCTCCCTCCAGGCCCAACCCTCCAACCCTCCCCTACACCATGGCTCTGGAGAGAGCTGTGCTAAAGGGGATTCAATCACCCAGTCCCTCTGTAAAACCCTCAGAGGCCCCACAGCTTCTGAGCTGATGTTTACCCTGATCAGAATGTAAGGCCCCTGTGGATCTGGTTCTGCTGCCCACCCAGCTTCATCCCAACTCCCCTGTACCCGCACCCTGTTCCTTTAATAAACATTTTAGTGTCTATTCTGCAGCGGCCACAGGCTCTTCTGTCCCATCATATCTGAATGCGTGGATTTCCTAAATCACCATGCTATCCCCCACCTCTTCACTTTCTCTTCTTTCTGAATTCTCCTCCAGCCCTTGTTGTTCGTCACTCAGTCGTGTCCAACTCTTTGCGAACCCACGGACTGTAGCATGCCAGGCTTCCCTGTCCTTCACCATCTACTGGAGCTTGCTCAAACTCATTTCCGTGGAGTCAGGGATGCCATCCAACCATCTTATCCTCTGTCATCCCCTTCTCCTCCTGCCTTCAATCTTTCCCAACATCAGGGTCTTTTCCAATGGGAAAGATTTTTCCCATTGGAAAAGACCCCCCAGTCCTGGACCTGATTAACTGTAGTCCACTGCAGCCCAGCTGTGTAGAAGAAATGGATTGTCATTATTTTAAAATAAAATTTGCATATAGTTAAGGTATACCATGTGACATTTAAATATACATTTACACAGTCAAATAATTAGGACAGTCATTTACTTAAGCATAACCACCTCCTCACATACTTAACCTTTGGGGGTTGGGGCTGGGGGGTGAGAGTACAGAAAATGTATATCTTCATTTTGCTTATGATAACCTGGTTTTCCTCTGGAGCCCCCAACTACTAATTTCAAGAAAACCACTTAACATCCAATTCTGTTTAAACTTGGCCCATTTCAACAATTTTCATAATCCCTTCCAGCAGTGTCCAGGCTTCCTAGGAAAAGTGCTTGGTCTCTCACAATTGTTGAGCACATGTTTAATATGATCCATTGGGATTAAGTGAGGAAATATTAGAATGTACCTATGATTATACTTATGTATAAAGAAAGAAATGCTTTGTTAATATATGACAAGAGTGCATAGAGACTATATTAACATACACATGTGGAAGTTTTTATTTTTTTTACTGGTAGGAGATGGGGATAAACACGTGGAGACCACTGGTTCCTTCTGGCCTCTGCTCACTTACTACCATCCACCTAGCTCCTTCCACCAGAATTACTCTGCTTCTCGATAATTCTCTAACTCACCAAGCTCACTCTTGGATCTTCCCCGTGTATCTCACACAGCAAGTTTATTCAGGACTCTGCTCTCCTGTCTGTCTTTAGAGACACATCACCCACACTGTGCCCCACCATCAACATGGGTTTATCCATATAATGTACTTTATGTGGTTGTGCATCTTACTTATATTTGCCAGATATTATATACCTGTTTATTGAATGTCACCACAAGTAGAGCAGTAGAGCGTAAGCTCAGGGAGGAGGGACCTTCTGTCTTATTTGCAGCCCTACCTGCACTGCATCAGTAATTATGAGCTGAATAGATGTCTGTGGATCCTCTACCTGGTACCATGTGGCCTCCTGGGGATATATCACTATCTCTGGCTGCCTGATACATCTGCATCTCCACAGACCAGTCTGTCCAAGAGAAAACTCCAAGATAATGGAAATGTTCTCTGTCTGTGCTGCCCTGAATGGCAGCCAGTAGCCATATGTGGCTGTTGATCACTTGAAATGTGGCTGTGGGACTGACTTTCAATTGTATTAAATTTAAATTACTCAAATTCAAATCACCACACATGGCTGGTGACCATCATCAGGACAGTGCCTCTCAGATTGTAAGGTCCTTGAAGATCCTATACCCTAGTGCCCAGCATAATATCTGACACTGGACAGACACTCAAAAAATGCTAAATGGGTGTCCAGCATGGGGAGGGTCTTAGAAAGGCCAGGGAGAAATTTTTTTAACTTGAACCTATGATGCTGTTTTTCTCTAGTTCACACAATCGCCAGAAAGCCCATGTCTTGGCATGATAACCTGGAAGAACCTGCAGACGGTAAGTCCAGGATTTGAGAATGACATTGAGACAGAGACAGAGGGCAGCTGGCTGGGATACTCTCAGGGTAGTGGTTCCTTAGGACAGACCTCAGTCCTCTGTTTGATCATCTGAAAGCTGAACTCATGCTGACAACACTCACAAGAAACCAACATTTTCAAAACTGCCAGTTTATTAACTGTCGAGCCAAAAAACATGTTCCTCATGGCCCTGACATTGCATTTGTTCATCCATCCAATACTTAGCTGATACAAGCACAGGTTCTGGAGTTCTACTGCTGCTGCTGCTGCTGCTAAGTCGCTTCAATTGTGTCCGACTCTGCGCGACTCCATAGACTCACCCACCAGGCTCCCCCGTCCCTGGGATTCTCCAGGCGAGAACACTGGAGTGGGTTGCCATTTCCTTCTCCAATGCATGAAAGTGAAAAGTGAAAATGAAATCGCTGGTTCAGCCATTCATTAACTGCGTGACTTTGGGCAAGTTTTTTAACATTTCTGAACCTATCTCTTAGAGATGTTGTGAGAATTAAACAATGTATAGCAAGTGTTTAAAACAGTATCTGGGGCCCTGCGCTGGCCAGACTAGCAAACCATACAGACAAGATGACTAAAGGTGATCCTAAGAAGTCAAAGGGCAAGATGACTGCTTATGCCTTCTTTGTGCAGATGTGCAGAGAGGAACATAAGAAAAACTCAGAGGTCCCTGACAATTTTGCTGAATTTTCCAAGAAATGCTCTGAGAGGTGGAAGACTGTGTCCAGGAAAGAGAAGTCTAAATGCAATGAAATGGCAAAGGCAGATAAAGTGCGCCATTGGTAAATGAAGAATTATGGATCAGCTAAGGGAGGCAAGAACAGAAGGGACCCTAATGCCTCCAAGAGACCACCATCTGGATTTTTCCTATTCTTCTCTGAATTCTGCCCCAAGATCAAGTCTATAAACCCTAGCATCTCTATTGGAGATGTGGCAAGGAAGCTAGGAGAGATGTGGAATAACTTAAGTGACAGGGAGAAGCAGCCATACATCAACAAGGCAGCAGAGCTGAAGGAGAAGTATGAGAAGGATGTCGCAGACTATGTCTAAATGAAAGTTTGATGGCTCCAAAGGTCCTGATAAAGTTGCCCGGAAAAAGGTGGAAGAGGAAGACAAAGAGGAGAAGGAAAAGGAGGAGGAGGATAAATTTTAAAAAACTATTGATCTGTCTCCTTGTGAATACCTTAGAGTAGGGAGCGCCGTGATTGACACACCTCTTATCCAAGATGTGTCTGTTGCCCTCATTAGGTTTAATTACCCAATTGGATCATGATCATATCGTAGTCTCTCCAAGTGCTCTAGAGCATTGTCAGTGGTTTACAGGAAGTGGCCATGGGTGTCTGGAGCACCCAGAAACTGTATCAAAGTTGTACATATTTCCAAACGTTTTTAAAACGAAAAGGCTCTCATGTTCTCCTCATTCTGTGCACTTTGCTGTTGGTGTGACAAGGCTTAAAGACGTTTCTGGCACTTTTTTTTTAAATCTGTAAGGTGGTGTGTTAATTCTATGGTCATTGGCTAGAAATCCCGAGTTTTCAACTATACATATCTATAGTTTGCAAAAGAACAAAGAAATCGAGGCACACTCTTGATGCTCCTTGCTTGGTGTGGAGGATGTGGGGGCGATGCCTTCTGGAGGGGCCGTAGCTGAGGGCATGCACTGTGGGGCTGGACCTGTGAATACTGCGGTGGGCATCCATTTAGCTTCAGGTTGTCTTGTTTTTATATAGTGGCAAAGCATCCTGCTGCCATTCTAGCTGTGGAAAGAGGGGCAGGGGGCAGCTGGCATGAGAAGTGTTTTGGATCCTTTTTAGTTGAAGTGCAGTAGTTTTAAACTTTTTTTTTTTAACAAACCATAGAACTCTTCATTGTCAGCAAAGCCAAGAGCCACAGCACCAGTGAAAGTTCAAGAACCTTCTATACTAAACAGATCTGCAACGTTCTTTTTTTTTTTTTTTGTATGTTTAGAATGCTGAAATCTTTTTGAAGTTAATTAAATAGTATTACATTAAAAAAAAGTGTCTGGTACATGGTGATCGGGACATGTTATTAATATTATTTTCATTATTACCCTGTGATAGTCACTAGAATGGGGCTCAGAATCTCATACCATAGGCAAAGAGATAGACATGTAAATACCCAGGTAAACAGAGCAAGATTGGGATGGCAGCAGCATAGGAAATAGGTGCCCACCTCAGACAGTGAAGTTCCGGGAAGTCCTCCTGGAGAAGGTGAGGTGGAGTGTGTTAGGTGTAGAAGAATGTGGACAGACATTCTGGTTACATGAAAAAGCACAGAAATGAGACACCAGCATGGCCTAAGAACTGTGAGTAGTTTGGCATGGCTGTGATAATACAGGTAAGTGGGGCCACATTTGAGAATGAGGGAAGAAGATACTTGATAGGAAGCCTAACTCTTCTAACAAGCTTTCCTCCTTCCCCTCTACCTTCTTAGGGTGTAGTTTGATAGAGGAAGGATGTGTGATTTATGTAGGAGACAGGGTGGGAAGTGGGGGTGTGCAGGAGGAGTGAGGATTTCATAACATCGTGGAGATAGACAAGTAAATAGACTAATAGAGAATAGAAAGTGAGATTGCCATCTGTAGTGGGGACACCAGCCTGGCTAGAGCAAATGATAGCACCTGGGGACTTGCAGCAATAAGGAAAATAACAGGTGGTAAGGAGTTCATTACTAGCCGCCTTGTATTCAGGATAAGCTCGGCCCAGTGCCAAGTCCTTTACTTTTTAATTCCATTCTCGGACATCTTGCTGAGGTAGATATCTTCCTCCCATTTTGCAGATGAACAAAGAGGCCCAGAGAAGTTAAACCACCTGTCAAGCTAGTAGTAGAAGGGCCATGAATGTCTGACTACAAGCCAGCTTCTTCCCCTTGTCAGACTACCTCCCTCAAACTGAGACTGGATAGGTTAGATTGAAAATGAAATCTATTAAGTCCTTAAGGTGTAGAGTTAGAAACATACCTGGTGTTGACAGCCATGCTGATTTCAATCCAGAAGGATCTGACCTCACTTCTTATAGTCCAGCTCCTCACTGCCTCTTCTGCAGCTTCATTGTGCAAACTTGCTCATGCCCCAGGGCCTTTGTTCTTGCCTCCTGTGATGTGCTCCTCCTCTGCCTCTCTCAGGGCTAGCACTGGCAAGGCATGCAGAGAGGCCTCCCCTCGTCATCCTAAGTAGCCTGCCCTGTCTCCCCCTGCCCCCTGCCCTACTCCCTTCTTCACAGTGTGCATCACTGCCTGCCTCTCTGTAGTTTTTCTTTTTAACTTTCCATTTTATATTGGAGTATAACCAATTAATAATGCAATAGCTTCAGGAGCACAGCAGAGGAACTCAGCCATACACATACATGTATCCATTATCCCCCAAACTCCCCTCCCATCCAGGCTGTCACCTGACACTGAGCAGAGTTCCCTGTGCTATACAGTAGGTCCTTGTTGGTTACCCACTTTAAACACAGCAGTGAGTACATGTCGGGTTTGTTTTTATACTTGTATATTGTGTCCCCTGACCCCTCACCCAGTCTACATTACCAGGAGACCAGGAACCATGTCTATCTTACTCTGCTCTGCCTCCAGGGCCCAAACAGTGCCTGGCACAGAGTTTGTTCTCAACAGATGTTTGTTGAGAGATGTGTGGAAGAACCAGATGCCTGTGTCTTGATGTCTAGGCAAGCCTCTGAGGCTGGTGTGCTGCCTGTCAGGAGGATGTGCCAGAGTCAAGGGCGCAGTATCTCTCGTTGGTCCCCAAACCTGACTTCTTTGTAACCCCTGCCTCATCTCCCAGCCAGGTTTCTGAATCTTATCCACCACGCTGCCCAGGGACCAAGAAAGAAATACCCAGAGACACAGACTGAAGGTCAAGAGATCGGATGGGATTCTGAGCCTTTGGTAAGTGGGTCTCCTTTACTTGGAAGGTCAGGGGTAATCCAGCGATGTTTAAGGAAACAGAGTATGGAGCCAGCTGCCTGGACTTGAACTCTGGCTACCACGTACTAGCTGTGTGGGAAGTGACTAAGCGCTTTTGTGACTAAGCTTCCTCCTAGTACAATGGAGATAATCCAGCATGTCTCTCATAAAATTGTTCTGAGGATTAGACGAGACAGTGCTTAGAACACAGTACCTGGTACGAAGTGAATACTGCTAAGTGTGGATTAAACAAAGCTTGCTGATGACAGCGGGCCTGAGTTTGCTCTCCCAGGTGTTAGTAGAGTGGTCTCAGGCATGTCACCTACATCTCTAAATTCTGTCCCCTTCTCTGGAAAATGTGAATGCTAGTAACATATTTGTGTCATTGACTGGAAAAGCACCACTAAGTGCAAGGAGCCTGGGAAATGCAGTCTTTAGCATATGATCTCCCTAAATGATACAGGGCTTCTGTTCCTAAGAAAGACACAGGATTTTGAATAGACTTGAAGAACTTCCTGTCGCACTTGTCTTTCCATTCTGATTATTTCATCTTCATTTCACAGACAGGGTTTAGCAAGAAAAAGCATCAGGGGCCACACATCAGGAGACTGGGACCTGAGTCAAGTCCAGGTCCCTACAAGACAAGGTCTTCCCCCTTCCCCACAGGCTGCTTTCTGACATCTGCCGCCTCCTCTCTAGGTCAACCCGCAACGTGATGACCGCAGGCTGAACCACTTCAGGGTCTACAATGACATCGCCCTGTACAAGGCTAAAATGTGGAGCCTGGGAGAAGACGATCGCCACAAGTAGTATTCCCTCAGCACTGGCAATCCTTGTCATTGATGCCCCAAGTGTGTGCTGCCCAGGTAAATAAAGACACTTTTAAGCCTTGGTCTGACTGTTGCTGTGTCCAGAGTCTCACATTTCTCCCTTCTGCCCAAGTTCACCAGTCCACCTCCTTAATCGTATAAGCCAGGGAGAGAATTCCAGTTAAAGATGGCAAACTAAGTGTATACAATATCTCCTCTGCCTTCTAGACCCCGATAAAGGACAATAAATTGATTTTTTAAAAGATAAATGAGAAACATTAGCAACCAAAAAAACTGAAGGCAATGCTTAGAAGATGGAAAGCTGGTGGAAGAGCGGGGAGGAAACCACAAAATGCGAGCTGAGTGGGACACCTCTGAGCACAGAATCCTGTCCCCCCAGAACTCTGGAGAGGGGTCAGGATTCTGGACAGAATGGGTGTGAGGCAGGGAATTGAAGGAGGGAGGGAGTCTGCTGGGAGTCCCATCGCACACCCCAGCACCAGAGGCTTAACAGCTCCCATGCTGGAGGTTTACTCTTGGAGGAATGGGCAAAGGCCAGAGCTCAGAGACACTAAGGCATGGGCTAGAAGTAGGTGTGAGCCTGAAAACAATCAATGAACAGCTGTGAAAGGAGGGATGAACCCCTCACCCACCAGGCTGCAGTTTTACCCTGGGTTTGAAGCTAGAGGGCTCCTTTTTGTGAAAATGAGCCAGCTCTAAAGAACTGACCCCCAAAGACCCCCACATGGTACCATTTGAAGGTTCTGGAAAGAAAGAACCAGAGACCATCCAGGCAGCTGAACACACAGAGGTGCTGGGAGAGTCACTCACCCAAGGAAGGGGATGGACATTCCATGCACCACACCTCACCTCTCCCCCGACACCTGCCCAATACCTTGCTCTCTGTGTATCTTCCATCTGGCTGTTCCTGACTTATACCTTGAAGAGTGAAGCCACATACTGCTGAGGTCACTCCTGCTTTTTGAAATTGCCAAGGCTGAATGGAAGCTGCAATCCTGAGTGGCCTCACACTGACGGACATTTTCATGCAAGGATGGGCCAGATCAATTATTAGATCCCCAAGTGTGCCAGTATCTCATGACTGTTACAGTGCATCCGCTGTAAGGAATCCATGGTCAATGACCAGGGGGTGACCCGTGATATCATAGAAAGAGATTTGGTCTTTGTCATGGTTCCTGACACAGAACTCCTAAATACTTTGTAATTTAAGTGATAGAGGTGGTAGGAGGGTCTTTTGTTCTAATGAGGTGAGTCTTGGCAGCTTCCTGATAGTTTCAGGATAGGGGGCTGCTCCCCAGGAAGACCAAACCTTGGTTAGAAACTTAAAACTTCCAGCCCCACCACCCAAACTCTGGGGAGGGAGGAGGAGCTCAAAATTGAATTAAATCACTGATAGCCCATGATTTCATCAATAATGCCCACATGGTGAAATCTCCATAAAGCCTCCAGACTGCAGGGTTTAGGGAGCTTCCAGGTAGGTACACATTAAGGCACTGGTGGGGAGAAGGAGCAGTGATTTAACTATCAGGACGTGTGGCTTGACTGTGCCTAGCACTTGGATGCGCCTGGTCTTCCTTCAAGATAGTGTAGATTGCTGCTCAGTTCCATTTAGTCACTCAGTTGTGTCCGAATTCTTTGCGACCCCATGGACTGCAGCACGCCAGGCCTCCCTGTGCACCACCAACTCCCACAGCTTGCTCAAACTCATGTCCATCAAGTTGCTGATGTCATCCAACCATCTCATCCTCTGTCTCCCCCTTCTCCCTCCTTCAATCTTTCCCAGCATCAGGGTCTTTTCCAATGAGTCAGTTCTTTGCATCAGGTGGCCAAAGGATTGGAGTTTCAGCTTCAGCATCAGCCCTTCCAATATTCAGAATTGATTTCCTTTAGGATTGACTGATTTGATCTCCTTGCAGTCCAAGGGATTCTCAAGAGTCTTCTTCAATGCCACAGTTTGAAAGAATTTATTCTTCAGCGCTCAACTTTCTTTATAGTCCAACTCTCACATCCATATGTGACTATCGGAAAAACCATAGCTTTAATGAGACGGGCCTTTGTTGGCAAAGTAATATCTCTGCTTTTTAATATGCTGTCTAGGTTGGTCATAGCTTTTCTTCCAAGAAGCAAGCGTCCTTTAATTTCATGGCTGCAGTCACCATCTGCAATGATTCTGGAGCCTGAGAAAATAAAGTCTGTCACTGTTTCCATTGTTTCCCCTTCTATTTGCCATGAAGTGATGGGACCAGATGCCATGATCTTAGTTTTCTGAATGTTGAGTTTTAACCCAACTTTTTCACTCTCCTCTTTTATTAAGAGGCTCTTAGTTCCTCTTCAATGTCTGCCATAAGGGTGATGTCATCTGCATATCTGAGGTTATTGATATTTCTCCCAGCAATCTTGATTCCAGCTTGTGCTTCATTCAGACTGGCATTTCGTATGATGTACCACGCATATAAGTTAAATAAGCAGGGTGATAATATACAGCCTTGATGTACTCCTTTCCCTATTTGGAAGCAGTCTGTTGTTCCATGTCTGGTTATAACTGTTGCTTCTTGATCTGCATACAGATTTCTCAGGAGGCAGGTAAGGTGGTCTGGTATTCCCATCTCCTGAAGAATTTTTCAGTTTGTTGTGATCTACACAGTCAAGGGCTTTGGAATAATCAATTAAGCAAAAGTAGACATTTTTATGGAATTCTCTTCCTTTTTTGATGATCCAACAGGTGCTGGCAATTTGACTCTGGTTCCTCTGCCTTTTCTAAATCCAGCTTGAACATCTGGAAGTTCATGGTTCACGTACTGTTGAAGCCTGGCTTGGGAGAATTTTGAGCATTTTCTTGCTAGCATGTGAAATAAGCACAAGTTTGAACATTCTTTGGTATTACCCTTCTTTGGGATTGTGGTGAAAACTGACCTTTTCCAGTCCTATGGCCACTGTTGAGCTGTTCAAATTTGCTGGCATATTGAGTGCAGCACTTTCACAGCATCATCTTTTAGGGTTTGAAATGGCTCAACTGGAATTCCATCACCTCCACTAGCTTTATCCTTAGTGATGCTTCATAAAGCCCACTTGACTAAGGCATTCCAGGATGTCTGGCTCTAGGTGAGTGATCACACCATCATGGTTATCTGGGTCATGAAGATCTTTTTTGTAGTTTTTCTGTGTATTTTTCCCACGTCTTCTTAGTATCTTCTGCTTCTGTTAGGCCCATACCATTTCTGTCCTTTATTGCATTTCATGCAAAGATGGGCACAATAAAGGACAGACTGTTGCTGGATCACTGGATTTTCTTGAGTGGTCATTAACTTACAAATCTCCCAAACTCCCTCATAATTACCTATTTTTAATCCTCTAGTGGGATTTCTAAACTAACTATCCTACTCTATCCCTATCAGATTCGCTTTTACCATTGCATCATTTGTACTTTCAATGTCACAAAATACCTCCAAGAGCCCCTTTAGAGTGAAGGTTTCTGCCAGTGTGACTTCCTCTGGGACATCCTCATCCTGCCCACCACTTTCCTCATTCTGTTTGAGCTCACATTCACTGGCTCTCTAGCTGCGTCTCTTTTTAGTCCTACAACAGCCATGTCTCCATTCCCTCGCAACATATTCCTCCCGTAACTCCATTTGCATCCTACTCAATTTTACTTCCGACTTTTATCATTTTCCATTTCTTTGGTCAATTCCCTCCTTCAGTTACTTACTTTTGTAAAATGCCATGTGGGTTTACTGCTGAAGATGAGGAGGCAACACAACTGCACTCTTTGCCACCTGTGCGTGAACTGAGTAACACGTCCAGTGACCAATCACCCACAGGCTTTGAAAGAAGCAATTTGGGGTCACTAACCATTATGTATCTTTTAGGCAGTGGTTTTATGGACTGAAGAGCCAGCAGCAAAATCTCTACGTTCCACAGTTACTTGGTTAACAATACCTTGGTAACTGAAAGGTGAACAGTGCTGTCCAGGAACTGCTATTGATACGGCACCCTGGCAGCTCAAGTCCACGCATGTTGGTACAAAGCAAGAACCGCCTGGACTCGGCCATGGCGACTACCAACATCCTACCCAACCTTCAATGCATGGAAATACATTTTAAAACAATGGGAGAGCTAATACTGAATGTAGCCCGATTATACTTTAACAGCTGGAATGGTAAAGTGATATAAATAAGCTCTATGAAGTATATCTGAAATTAAGTGATTCTATTTGCTATAAAAAGGAAAAAAAGGAAAGAAGGTACATCCAAACCCTTCGGAAGTACTCAGATCAGTCATTTACTTTTGTCCCTACTAGTGTAAACTCTTGTCAACCTTAAAACTCCCCTATGTTCCACACATAATTCAAAGTTTCTTAAGCTAAGGCTCCTAACTGGAATTACTATTTGTTACCCTATTCACTACTATTGTACAAATTGTCAAAATATGTTGGGGTAAAACACTGTGGTCTTCTGAGAATATGACCTATGTGCTTAGATTTTTGTTCATTGAAATTAGTTTACAAAAACTGAATTCATTCTTTTTGTTCTAGAAACAGTATCATACGAAACCAGAGAGATCTTTTAGGTACCAATGATGCTACAAGAAAACCATGCAAAAATGAGTTGTTTTTTCTGCTTAAGCATCTAGAGTTCTCAGATATTTGTAGCCGCAAAATTTCTAAACTGGAATGGAGGCAGCGGGTGGGGGGGGGCACAGGGTGGGAAGCTGTCTTCCCCTCCTACCTCTCAAGACAGAGAAAATCCCAACACGAAACATGGCCTGCTCACAACCTTCAACCTGCACACAGCTCCAAGCCGGCACTGGAGAACTTCAAATACATACACACCACCCTGGCTCAGCAGACACTATGGAGAGCCACCCCACTCAGCAAAATAATCCCACAAAGGTAGGTACTCTTCATTATACAGCAGGAGTGTGCTAAGCATTTTGCACATATTAACTCACTGCTGAGAGGAACCCTCTTTGGTAGATTTTATTATCATGTCTATATAGAGATGACAGAGCACAGAAAAATCAACTTGCCCAGGTCAAACAGCAAGTACACAGCAGAGCCAGGTGTCAAACCTGGCAGTTTGGCCCCAGAGTCCATGCTTTTAATCTCCACAGGGCTCGTTTATTTATTATCAATAAATGGCAGTATTATATGTAAAAGTAACTTCTAAATCTTTCAGTCCTGAGTTTTTAACCAAGAATATATATTTCTCTGAAAATTTTTCTTTAGTTTATTAAAAGAATTTTTACAAAAAGAAGCTAACAGAAGGGATCCAATTGAATTGTGAAATCCCAAGTCTCCATCTCTTTTTCTTGGTGTTTGTATACAAAGATGCAACTTGTTTAGTGTCTTCTGCTCTTCATTTTCTCTCTTGTCCGTTTTCCAGGTCTTTTCTGCAGAAAAGGAAATATCATGTGTGTTCACCCAGCAGTTGGCCTTCTGCCCCAGGGTCTGGACACAAGGAAAGAATGGGAGGGAGATGGGAGGGGTGGGAGTGGAGGCTGCTCCAGCCCCCTCACTCCATACTCACATTTGATCCTTTCTTTCCAGGCCTCTTGAGGACCCTGCCATGAGCTGTCTTGGCCCGGAAGCTGGATACATCATCATAGCTCTCACGAGTGTTCCACTTGGAGCCTTTCTTCTTCCCACCATAACCAAACTTCTGGTTTTTATAGCGTCGCTTGGCATTGGGCCTGGAAAAAAAGCAGTCTTATAGGTTACCTTCAACACCGCAAATCCTGACGAATGTTACGATCCAACCATACCCTCAGTTTCCTATCTGTAAACGAAGCCCATAGATACTACTGTAACCAAAATCTCATCCTTGACCCAGTATTTCTACTCTATAAACTCCCCAGACAAGATCATCTACCTACAGCCTTAACCACCAAAGCAAGAAAACAGCGAGAATCAGGAAAAGATCTATCATGTGGCTCATCATCTATCTTCAGAGCCCATGGACTGTAGCCCACCAGGCACCTCTGTCCATGGAATCCTCCAGGAAAGAATACTGGAGTGGATTGCCATTCCCTTCTCCAAGGGATCTTCTGCACTCAGGAATCAAACCCAGGTCTTCTGCATTTCAGGCAGATTCTTTACCGTTGAGCCATCTGGGAAGCCCCATTTTTAAACTAAATCTTATTAAATCACCCTCAGGTGTTCCTAGTCCTCTCAAGGATATTAAATGCGGTTAACGTTTGAGTGTAATACATGTTAAAACTGATCATCCCACAGGAATCTCAATTCACCATATCCAAAGTCATAGTCACCTCCCTCCTAGACTGGTTTCACCTCCTGTATCTACAGCCTAACTTGAGGCTGGTGGTCCTACCATATACTCAGCTGCCCACACTATGAACCTAGGGTGGATTATAATTCCTTTTTTCATTCTCTGCACCCAGCTCAACTACTGAGTCCTGCTAATTTGACCTCTTGAGTATTTCTTCAACCAATTTTCTCTTCTCTACCCCTATTACCACTTTTAGGTCATTATCTTTGTTCTCTGGACTTTTGTAATGGTCCCCTGATCAATTTCCCTGCCTCCCTCACTTACACAAGTACCACTGTAATACTGAAAACATGAATATGACCTGCTCACCATTTTGAGTAAAGCCCATGAGCACCTCCCCACTGACTGCTGGAAATAGCCCAGGCTCCTCAAAACACTGTCCTGCACTCAGCCCAGGTCCTCCCAGCTACACCTCACCACTCCTTGCCTCATGCTGTAACCCCCATGACACCAAATGCTGGCTGTTCCTCACACACCAACCTGCTGTTCTCATCTCTACACTTCTGCTCATTCATGTTCTTCCTTCTTCCCCAAACTCATGTCTCTCCTGTTCTCCTGGTTAATTCCTACTGGTCTTTCAGACTAAGCTCTGGTGAACCCTTCTCCAGGAAGCCATCCCCAGACTCTGACCCCTGGACCATGTCACTTATTTCTAAAATGGGCTTCCAGACTTCTCCCTCAATGCCTCTATCACAGCATGGACTATATTATATAGATATGATCATTCTCCTCAGGGTGGTGTCCAGGAATGCATAAAGGTGAATTAAAAGAACCAATAATAATATCCAACATTATCCCTTTTAATCTTTCTAATATTAAGAGGTACTTACAATTTTTTTTTCATTTTCACAAATGAGGAAATTAACATTTAGGAAGGTGAAGTAACTTGCTCAAAGCTACCCTCCTAATGAGAGACAGAACCCAGATCAGAACCCTAGGTCTGCACACAACCCTCACACATGAGGAATCAACTTCTACTGCGTATTTACTGAAATCACCCCACTTGAACCTTCAAAGACTGATGTGGCTGAATGGGCCCATCAAACGGCCCATAGGTCGGGCCGTAGGCACAGCTGCACTCCTTGCAATGAGGACACACCATGAACTGTGGCCTTGCACGCACCACCACCAAAACAGAATGCAGCACTCACCCCTTCCTCATTTGCTGGCCTTTGGCTCCTTCTTTTGTGCTGTGTGCAACAGGCTTCTGATCTCCCTCAAGGAAGTCCAGTTTATCAGAGAAACCTGGGAGTGAAGTACTTTGATCAACACCACAGTGTTTTAAAAAAGATTCAACTTCAAAAGAAGGATGTTACTTATGGAATTGGTATTAAGGGCACATCTTGCTCCACACACCATTGTCAAACGTTAGGTCCAATAGTTCCAAATCAATCAAGCCTTCAGATGTGTTTGATAGAATCAGCAGGTACCCCTGCTCCCCTGCAGCCTTATGAGAGAATACACTCACCTTTCTGATATTTCTTAATGGCACTCATCATGTGTGATTTCTCCTTCTGCCGCTTCTGAAGAACCTCTGTTTGCACCTGGATGTGGACACAGGACTATTACACCCACTCCAAACCAGCACTCCAAATGTCTACAGTCTCTCAGTGACCAGGCTGTGACCACCACTGAGCACTGACTGTGTGCCACAACCATGGTAAGGCTCTAAGTATATTCTCAATTTCTCATCCCAACAACCCACTGAAGCAGAAATTCTTATGACCCCAAAACAAAGCACAGAGAGACGCTATAATTTGCCTAAGTCACACAGCAAGTGTGGAGCTGAGATTCACACCCAGGAAGTCTGCATTCTTACCCATGACACAACCTGCTACAAAACTGCACAAATCATGTTTATGTCAACATCCAATTCTCTCCCTAATTACATCTGGGCAGATTAAACACCTGAACCACTGCTGCTAGGCATGAAAATATCAACAGAGAAAACAATCTCCCCCAAAAACAAATAAAAAAACACCTTTAAGGATAAAAAGAGATGCTTAAACTCTAAGGCAGAGTTTCTCTATCCCAACGCTATGACAGTTTGGACAGGATCATTCTTTGTCAGGGGGGAGCATGGCCTGTCCTCTGCATTGCAGGATATTTAGAAGCCTCCCTGCTCTCCACCCACAAGCACCAACTGCACACTCCCCACCAAGATGTGACAACCAAAAATGCCCCCAGATACTGCCAAATGTTCCCTGGTCAAACAAAATTATCCCCATCAGACTGTGCTGGGAGGTCAGGTTTGGAAACCATTGATCTGGACCCAGCTCTTCACTGTACAGGTGTGCAAAGTACAGCCCAGAGAAGTATCTGACTCGCTTGCAGTGACCATACTACTTCTGGTGACAACAGGTGTCCAGGAGGGATTGTGTTTGTGGACACGAGCAGCCCATGCTGCTATGAGGGAGTCAACACACAGTGGAACACACACGAGGCACAGAACCAACTCAGACCAGGCAATCTACGGACAAACACCCTCGGCCCCATCCCATCCCTGTCCGTTGTCCTTCCCACCTTCTTTCCATATTTTCTAAGTGCTCGCAGCTGCTTAGCCTTTTCCGACTTCTCCATGGCGGCCTGCTTAGCCTGCAGTTTCTGTCGAATCTAAAACATAAAATGTTGTCAGCTTCTGTTAATTGAAAATGGCGTGGAAGCTGCTTAGGGTGCACTGCAGCAGGGAGCAGACACACTGTGGAGTTCTGCACAAAGTGGAGCTCAAAGGAAACTTGTGAATCATCTACTCCAAGCCCTGTGTTTCACACACAAGGATAATAAGGCCCAAAGGCTAACACCTTTACCCAAGACACCAAAAGTCTTAGCCTTGGAACCACAACATCAAGGTGACCTTCTTATTCCCAGTGTGCTGTTTGCTCTATTAAACAAAACAGCTTGCTTGCCACTGAATCAGGAGAAAAGACGAACTTCTCTCCATCCATACCATCTGCAGACGGCGGTGAAAGCAGTATGCAGCTTTAGCCTCCTTCTCCAGTAGACCATCTGCACTATAAAAACTCAAACTGATATCAGGTACCTAGCTATTTGCATTAAACACACACATTTCAGTTAAAGAATGAACAGTTATGAATTTGAATGTGCAGAAATGGGTCTAGGTTCATCTCTAGATTAGCTTCCTTGAGTACCACTGAGACAAGAAAATCCAGCTTGAGACCCAGGGGAACTATTTAAGTATATCTTAGATTAGACTTTGGTAATTCCCTGCCTCCCAAAGTTGAATAAGGACCAAATTCTACCTAACTGTCCAGTTCAGTCACTCATTCATGTCTGACCTTTGCAAACCCATGGACTGCAGCACCCCAGGCTTCCCTGTCCATCACCAACTCCTGGATTTTACTAAAACTCATGTCCATTGAGTTGGTGATTCCATCCAACCATCTAATCCTCTGTTGTCCCCTTCTCCTCGTGCCTTCCATCTTTCCCAGCATCAGGGTCTTTTCCAATGAGTCAGCTCTTGGCATCCAGTGGGCAAAGTATTGGAGTTTCAGCTTCAGCATCAGTCTTTCCAATGAATATTCAGGACTGATTTCCTTTAGGATGGACTGGTTGGATCTTCCTGCAGTCCAAGGGACTCTCAAGAGTCTTCTCCAACACCACAGTTCAAAAGCATCAGTTTGGAGCTCAGCTTTCTTTACAGTCCAACTCTCACATCCATACATGACTACTGGAAAAACCATAGCCTTAACTAGCCTTAACTTAGCTAACTGTAAATTATGCCAAATCTGAGCCATACATCAATCCTTCATTTTACAGCCGAGAAAAACTGAGGCTCAGAGAAAGGTAACTGTCTCCAAATTATAATGCTGCCCCGGCAATGGCAGGAAAGAACTGTTGTCTCTTCCACACAAAATACCATGACCATGCCAGGAGATGCATAAAGATCATCTTTACCCTAGGGACCACGCTTCTTACATTATGTTCCTCCCTTAACTGTTAGGAAAAAGTCAACCTTACATTTGTCCAACTGGTGTTGATTAGCATGAATCTGACATAGATAACTGAGATAATAATTGTCCTCTGACAACTGGCTCCCTATTAATGTGCTTATGCCTTTGTTTGTTTGAACATTAAGGGAGATAAGTCAGCTGTATAGACTTAAGTACAAAGCCTCAGTCTTCCACAGAAAACCTTTTCCATTTCTTACCTTCTGCATCTGCTGATCAGACTTGGCCATCTCTGCAAAGTAATCCGTAGGCCGCTTGGTAGGCACTTTGAGCTGATGGAGGCGGGGCAACACTGCAAGCACTGCTGCCTGGGCTTGACGGTAGCTGAGGATGTAGGACAAAGTGTGAAATAAGCTAAGGCAGAGAGGCCTTACATCCTTCTCACTGCCTCTCATAAGGTATCCAAGGTCTGAAGATCCCACAACACCTGACCTCCACCAGCAAAAACACACACACAAACAAAAATGGTAATAAAACCTCATTAACTCATTAGGAGAAATCTTTTAAAAAGGGTGGGGAGTATTGCTTAAAATGAATTAGTAGTTTAATAAAATGACCACTTTAGAAGTGCTAACTTACAAATACCAGTTACACATTCTTATTTAGTCACTAAAAATAAAGTCCATAAAAGGATTCTGCATAAGAAACTTTTTGTTCTCATAATCAACTGCACAAAAAACTTTAAAACTTAATATTTGAAAATAAACTGGACTTTAAATTGTGACTGCTGGACCACGGGGTTTTTCTCTCAACCACGGAGCATCTCCTACTCTTTAGCCCAAAGAAGCTTTCCTCCCTACTCCCAGGCTTAGGACACCTCGGAGGAACACAAGCTCATGGCTTCCACCCTCTCCCCACTCTCTAGCACAGGGACCCACAACCTTTCACACACTTGAAAACATACATACAAGCTCATCTCACGCTTAAAGTCATCTTCTGGATCAACAGCTTTCGGATCCTGGTTCTGAGATGTTGACTGAGGTCCACTGATTTCTGGTACCGGACCCAGGGTCACATCAAGCCTTTCAACCCATTCCAGATCCCGCTTGAATTCAGCCAAACACTGCTTCAGGCCATTCTAGGAAATTCAGACACCAAGCTCACAAAAAGGTAACAGGCCAACAAACGAAGTGCCAACCTCCAAGACCCCGACAGGTAGTTGACCCTCTTGGCAATGCGCAGGATGAGTCTTTCCTGGAACTAGAACGCAGTCTCTGGAGCACAACAGTGCCTCGCGCGCATCCCAAGTCTAGCATCCTCCGACCGGGCCCCCGAACTCACCACGTCATTCACGGCCTTCTTCGGCCCCTCTAGCACCACGTTGAGGCCTGGCTTTAGAAGCCCTCGGGAAAACGCCTCCTGCAACTACAGGGCACATTCCGCGGTGAGAACGGGAGAGTGAGGAGCCCTCTCCCTCGCGCAGCTCCGCGAGCTCGGAAGATACCTACCTCTCTGTCTGTGACAAGAGAGTCATCAGAATCGGAGTCCGAACCTGAGAGCGGGGGGGTGTCCATCTCACCGCGCGCGAGTCCACACCCACCGAAGGAAGCGGAGTAGCCCGAGATGCCTGCGCCTGGAAAAGTGCGCCGCTCGCCGCGACCGGTTTGCAGCCCCCTGCCCTCCTGCCGCGGATCCACGTGGACTCGAACCGCACCGGAGCTAACAGCTGCTCCAGAGCCCTCTGAGCAAAAGACTTCCGCTTCCGGGTGCTGACATACTTCCGGCTTGCCGTTGCTATAGGAACCGCTCCGGCGTCGGTGAGTGCCGGGTTGCTTCGGATTCGTAGGGGCAGTACCCTGGACACACGCGTGGTCTGGTGATCCAGAGAGCAGAACCTTACAGGTGGGAGAGATCCCTGGGGGTCGTCCAGAGGAGCAGGAAGCCGCGAGGGCGAAAGGAACGAGCAGACGCAGGAGCTGGGTCTGGGGCACTGGACGAGTTTGCTAAGGGGAGGGGGCGGAGGAGCAGTTCGGGGGCGGACCCACGGGCGTGTCGCGGGGAGGGTGCGGCAGGGTGGGCGGGGTTTCGCGTTTCTCCTTGCTCACCAGCTGCGTTGCATCTTTAGCGGAACTACCAGGACCATGTCCACTGTGGTAGCTCAGTCGCTGCATGTTTTTGGTCTTCGATCCCACGTGTCCAACAATGTCTTCTTCTTCGATGAACAGATCATTATATTTCCTTCAGGAAATCACTGTGTGAAGTACAATGTGGATCAGAAATGGCAAAAATTCATTCCAGGTAAAACTGTTTTCAATCTGACACCTAGGTAACCATGTGAACCAAATATAACACCGTAATCCCAATAGGACGATTGAAAGAAAACTTTTTTGGCCAACTTGAATATACATACAGTTTTATAAATGTAGAAGAAATACATGTCTACTTGCCTTATTTTAATGTATAGATTAATGAATCATACATACTTAAAGTCACATGTAAAATCATGTTAATTTAAAGGGACTTATTTTCACTGTGATCTAATGGAAAAAAATTCTTTTGAAGAGTTTCATGCATCTTCATTATCACTCTCTCTGTCATCACCAGGGTTGCTTTTTGACTTCTCTAACAGTTTTCTAGAGTACACCACTTTCATTACAGACCTTTTGAATCCATTTATGATGAAGACACTGGAGATTTTACCCCAGGTCAGAAATAGCCGTTTGTGTACTGTAACATTTGGTTTCGTTCACATTGGTCTTGCAAATGATATATATGATTTCCACATCTTAGCCACTCTTTTCCACTGTTTTCTGCACTCAACCCGTTCTATTGTGACATGCATACAAAAGACTGTATACTACATATATGTAGTATTTAAAGAACTATAGTAAAATGAAAATCTGCACATCTACCAAAAGGAGAGCAAATAGTACAGTACCAGTTCCTGTGTTTCTCCCTGACATCATTCATCTCACATGTGCCCACTCTCACTCCATCCTGGAATTTGTAATTATTCCCTTATTTCTCTGTATAGTTTTACCACATATTTATCTGTGTGGCCTTATGTAAGATATTGTTTTTGTTTGTGCCACTTTCCAACTTCGTATAAATGTAATGGTAGTGTGTGTATTCTGTGACTTGCTTCTCTTGTTCAACAACATGCTTCGAGATTCGTGCATTTTGTACATGTTACCTGAGTTCTTTTTATTACTATGCAGTATTCCCTCATATGACTCTAGTGTCTCAGATATATTTATCCATTCTAGTGTTGATGGACATTTGAGAATCAACTTTTTTTTTTTTTTTTTTTTTGCTTCTCTGCTGGCTCAGATGGTAAAGAATCCGCCTGCAATGAGGGTTTGATCACACTGGGTTCAACTTGGGTTTGACCGCTGTGTTGGGATGATCCCCTGGAGAAGGGAACAACTACCCACTCCAGTGGAGTACCCACTCCGGCCTGGAGAATTCCATGGACAGAGGAGCCTGGCAGGCTGCAGTCCATGGGGTTGCAAAGAGTTGGACACGACTGAGTGACTTTCAGTTTCATTTTTTTTGCTATTTCAAACCGTACTGCATTCTTGCATTCATGTGTTCTCATCTACTTGTGCAGAGATTCTCCAGGGCACACACCAAAACAGTAGTGTGGCCATACCGATTTACAACTGCTGTTACCCCACAACCTCACCACCCCTTGCTATTGTTCTACGTCCTAATGTTTTGTGCATTTACCTACTACTAATGAGGATGAGAATCTTTTCACATGATTAAGGGGCTACTCCTGTTTAATCTTCTGTGAAATGTCTTGTTTAAATTTTTTATCCATTTTCTATGTTTTGGGGGGTAATTTTCTTACTGATTTATAGTCGCACTATATTTTCTGTATGCTAATCCTTTGTCAGATGTATACATACTACAAATAATTTCTCCCAGTTTGGGGCTTGTGTTTTCTTCCTCCTTATGGTATCCTGATGGACAGAAATTCTTGGTTTTAATGAAGTCAAATTTATCAACCTCACTTAAGCTTATTAATATATTCTCCTATATTATCTCTTTGATACGCTCCACATTTACCTTTCATCTTTTAAGCGCTGGGTTAGGAGGATGCTGAGCAGAGCAACATGATCTGACTTATGTTTCAAAAGGTTCCTTGTGGCTACTGTTCACAGAATAGATTTAAGGAGGGACAAGGGAGGAAATAGGAGACCAACTGAAGGACTATGGCTGTAATCCAGGTGGGAGAACATAGTGGCTTGGAGCAGGTAGCAGGTAACAGGGATGGTAAAAAGAGATCAAAGCCTGGCTCTATTTTGAAGGTGGAGGTGACAGGTTTCCTCATTGACCTGACATAGTTGGGAGAGAAAAGGAATAAGCAAAGGTTTTGGCCTGAGCAACTGAAAGGATGAAGTCGCTGCTAATTGAGACAGGAAAGACTGCAGAAGGAGCAGGTTTTGTGTGGAATGTTAGTTTTTGACATGGGAAGACTGAGATGCCTGCTAGATATGCAAGACTGAGATGCCTGCTAGATAGGATCTTAAGTGAGCACTTTGATGTCAATTCTTGTCTGGAGAGTTCCATGGACAGAGGAGCCTGGCAGGTTACAGTCCATGGGGTAGCAAAGAGTTGGACCTGACTGAGCGACTAACACTTTTTCAATTTCAGTTGATGTCAATTGTGGATTCAGGAGAAAAGGCTCTGGCTGGTAATAAAAATTTGAAGGTTGTTAGCATAGAGGTGAAATACAAAGTCCTTAGAATGAGGACTTCCCTGGTGGTCCAGTGGTTAATTCTGCACTTCCAATGCCAGGGACATGGGTTCAACCCCCAGTCAGGGAACTTAAGATCCTACAAGCTTGCAGCATGGCCAAATAATAATCTTTTTTAAAAATCCTTAGAATGGATTGGATCACCCAGGGAGTAAATGAGTTTGTGAAAGAAAAGAAGGATAAAGATTGGGCAGTGGGGCCTTCCTACATTTAGTGCCAGGAAATGAGGAAGAACCTGAAAAAGAATCTTTGGAGGAGTAGCCAAAAAGAGGAAATCCATATAGGAGGTGAACATATTTCAAGGAGAAGTCAGTCATCAACTGGGTTAAAACAACGGGAAAGCATTTACAAACTGCAATCAGTCAGCACATGTTGAGCACCCACTGGGAGTCAGACACTAGTGATTAAAAGAATGAATAAGCTGGAAAGCCAGGGCCCCAGGCCTCCAGGAGCTCTCAGCATTGTAGTGGGGACAGGTATGTATTCAAATGGGCATCGGGACCATGTAAATGAGCAGGACACCCGCTAGGCCAGGTACAGCCCTGGTACAGAAGCACAGAGGAGGGGAGTAAACTCTTGTCCTTTGCCTTCTTCTGGCAGTCTTGTCTACACTCACACTTTCAACTCCCCACCATGACTTTTACCTCAAATCTGTATTTCAGTCCAAACATCTCCCCTAGCTTTCATCATATCAAGCGGCCTGCTAAGACCTCTTTACCTGAAAGTTCCAAAGTATGTATCCCACACACAATATATCCAGAATGGAATTTATCATTTCCTTTCTTCTCCCTCTTTCCTTGAGACTCTACTTTGCAAGGTATCAAAACACATGATAAAGATATGATTACAAAAATAAGCTAGTCCTAGTATAAATGTCCCAGAAACCCAATAATACACAAATAAATGAATACATTGGATAAAGGAATACATAGATGAATTTCAGTTCAGTCACTTAGTCGTGTCCGACTCTTTGCAACCCCATGAACCACAGCACACCAAGCCTCCCTGTCCATCACCAACTCCTGGAGTTTACCCAAACTCATGGCAACCCACTCCAGTATTCTTGCCTGGAAAATCCCATGGATGGAAAAGCCTGGGAGGCTACAGTCCATAGGGTCGCAAAGAGTCAGACGCGACTGAGCGAAAAGTAGAGGAAGAATATGGAGTGCTGGCTGTTCAGGGCATAAAGGCCTGTTATCTGACCCTGCTGCACCTTCCAGACCCATCTCGGTCACCCCTGGCTCACACAGGATGCTCAGCCATTGCCCACTGTGTGTAGTTCCCCCACCCTCTACACCGTTTCTCACTTCCACACCTTTGCCCTTCCTGATCTGCCCCACCCCCCATCCTGTTCCCACTTTGTCCTCTTTAAGGAATCCTTCCCTGACTTCTCCCACCACGGCCTCAGTGAGGGGCCCATCCTAGTTGTTTTCTTTTTCTTTTTTTTTTTTTTTAATTTATTTATTTATTTATTTTTTATCACAACCATAGTGTATCTTTTTTTTTTTTTTTACATGTATTCCCCATCCCGGTCCCCCCTCCCACCTCCCTCTCCACCCAATCCCTCTGGGTCTTCCCAGTGCACCAGGCCCGAGCACTTGTCTCATGCACCCAACCTGGGCCCTAGTTGTTTTCAAAATAGCCAAGGCACAGTTGTACTGAAGGATACAGGGATCAACGGTTACGTTTCTGCACTTTTCTCCTGTTGCCTTGGCAACACCCACCACGGTGCCTAGTTTGTGCTGGATCTCGGTAAATGCATGGTCACCCCTCATCAGTCCCTCTGCTCTCTTTGCAGGCTCGGACAAGAGT